CCGAAGTTTATTTAAATTTGTATTAGTGCTGTGGAAATTACAGAATGGTTTTGGGAAACCTTGGCCAAAGAAAATGTTGGAAAATACCAAAACTTTGTTACTCCTACTATTTATGTTTGTCTTGTGGCTTGTTTTGACAAGCCCACAAGATGCGTAGTAATATAAAGAAAAATAGGTCTTAATTTTTAGAGTTTCTAATGACTAAACACTGATTTACAGGAAGAATTTTTCACTTATTTCAAATATGATTTATTAAACACCCCATATCCCTAAGCTCTTTAGGTACTGTCATCAGCTACATGCTGGATCCTTCTGTAATCTTGCTCTAGATCAGTGCTGTCCAATAAAAATATAATGCAAGCCATATGTGTAACTTAAAAGTTTCCAGTAGCCACTTTAAAAAGGAGGAAAAAGAAAGATGAGGTGTTACTTTTAATAATATATTTTATTTAATCCTAAATATCAAAACTATTATCATTTCAACATGTAATTGATATAAAATATTCATAAGAAATTTTACATTCTTCCTTTTCTTACCAAGTCTCCAAAATCCAGTGTGTATTTCACATTTGCAGCCCATAATAATTGTTAGATTTGCTCCAGTGGTTAAAGTGAATATATATATCGAAAAAATAAAGCTTCATTTAGTGGAAAAAGTATATACTGCTATAGTTTTAAAATTTACATTTAAAAAAGTTAAAATGAAGTAAAACCTCTAGCTCAGTTCTCCGTCATACTGGCTATATTTCAGATACTCACTATCCACAAGTGGCTAGTAGCTACCAGACTGGACTGCACAGCTCCAGAACATTTTGTAATCTCACACAATGGTGCAATAAGCTGAATTCCCTAAGTCCCTCTTTATAAGATTCATTTATCAAGAAGGTGGTCCCAGGGCAGAAGATAGTGTATATTTAGGACTAAATGTTTCCTTTAAGAACACAGGCTTTGTCCATCAGTAGATGAATGGATAAAGAAGATGTAGTACATATACACAATGGAATAGTCTTCAGCCATAAGAAAGAAACAAATCCTATCATTTGCAACAACATGGATGGAGCTAGAGGGTACTATGCTCAGTGAAATAAGTCAGGCAGAGAAAGACAAATACCAAATGATTTCCCTCATTTGTGGAGTATAACAACGAAGCAAAACTGAAGGAACAAAATAGCCTCAGACTCAGAGACTCCAAGAAGGGACTAGTGGTTACCAAAGGGGAGGGGTGGGAGAGGGTGGGTGGGGAAGGAGGGAGAAGGGAGATTGTGGGGTATCATGATTGGTGCACATGGTGTGTGTGGGGTCACGGGGAAGACAGTGTAGCTCAGAGAAGACAAATAGGGACTCTGTGGTATCTTACTACACTGATGGACAGTGACTGCAATGGGGCATTGGGGGGGACTCAATAATAAGGATGAATGTAATAACCACATTGTTTTGCTTGTGGAACCTTCATAAGAATGTATATTAATGATACCTTAATAAAAAAAAGAACACAAGCTTTGTGATTATGTACTTCAGTTGCTTTAAGAAAGAAGGGTAATGTTGAATAACTGAAGTACTTAAAATTTAGGGAGAAAAATTCAATCACATGCCAGCTAATCAGCAAACTGATTTAACTCATTTTTATGTATCAAGAACCTGTAGCTATATAGAGAAATAATATAAAGATTTAACAATTCACTTTTTATAATTATCTGTACTTTTAGGACATGGGATCCATAAATGATAAGTGGTTTAGATTTTCTTAATGTGATGCTAAGTAGGGAACATTTAATCTTACCTTCATCATGTCACAAATCTTGTTATTCTTTATTGTGGTTCAAAGATCATAAATAAATCTTTAATATGCCTACATTTTACTATTGACATTTATGATATGTTTGTGTATATTTCGACAAAATACCAAGGTAGAAAGGAAAAGCTCCCTTGTATTTGCAACTGTAATTAACGTTGACATCTGTATTTATGCATCACAAAATTTTGTGTAAACATACTTCATTGAGGTCACAAGAATGTTTTAAATAAATGTACCAAGACACCCTACCTACAGTGCCATTTAGAGCATTATAATAACATAAAGCGGACCAGCTGAACACGCGTTTTAACAATATTTAAATAGCCCCAATGAAATAAGTAGCGCCTATTGTAAGTTTGAATTCCAATTGTTTAATTAATCAGAATTCCATCTTAAGGTCCTGAAGTTTTGCTCATAATTCTGAAAATCAGATGGATTCACAGCTTATGTATGAATTTTTAAATAAGTATTTTCATGAAATATTTTATAGTAACTACCTTTGGAGTTAGACTAGACAATAATAGTCTCTTCTAGATGTAAACATAGAATTTGGCTCTAGTCTCATGAGACACAAATGCCAAAGTTCATTTGTGAACAGAAATACTCAAGCAAATGAGTATTTTTTCTTCTGCTGTGCTGTAATGATTCAAAGTTCATTCATATTCCTTTGCATCATGCAACCTTTCCCTCACCTCTGAACATGGTTAAGTGTTACACTGCATGAACTCATTTGTTATAGACACTACCCAAGGAATAGATGGGGATTGCTGTTTTCCTCAATATATAAAGTTTAGATAAGAGTCAAGAAATGGTCGAATTATGACCATGTTGAAGAGGGAATACAAACAATCATTCTACACAAGGGCTTTGGAAAACAAGCAAATATTCTTTAGTCTTATTATAAAAAGAACAAGTGAGAGACTTTTCCCAGTGGCAGAGTATGGATTGAAGCTCTGATGATTCTCCGACTACCTATTCCAACAAATTCTACCACAGTTCCCTTCTGCTGGGTGCTTTTCAAGATAAGAATGATAAGACTTTTGAGAAGAATTTGCTGTGGAAAACATCTGCCAGCCCCAAGCACAGTCCTCTCAAAGCAAGCCTTGGTTTTCTCAAGCCAAGCAAAATCATTTCCATGTAGTACAGAGTGAGTTTTCTACTGGCAAAATCTTCTCCACTCATCCAGGTATTAGGAGACCTGAAAGCACCTCCATTCCTAAATGTTTTTTCAATAACCTTTACATAAATGGTGTGATAAATCATCTACATCAGATAATAAAGAGTTTTTAAAAAAGACTTTTTAAAAAGTGACAAGGGTGATAGGGATGGGGGAAGCGTGCATTGGATCATTGTGGATCTTTTGAGGTGGGCTGAGAACAGCAGGCTGTCACCTGTCGCCATACAGAAAGATGCAATATTGTTGATAGAATCAGCTTTAACATATGTTTCAGTTATGGAACATATGTTCAGAGAAAACAAAAGGGCCCAGATTTATCTCCCCTAGAGCAATGAGCCTTTGAACCTCTATGGATGAACATTCTCTATTAAAAACCCAAAGCCTCTGTTTTGTAGGTGGAACATAAATCCAAATGACAATAGACATTCTCTCATGAGAGAAAGGCAAGTTAAATGAAGAAAGATGTGGCAGTGCTTGCTTTAAAATGCCACCAAAGTTGACTGAAATATTTTGACTGTGCAAATCTGCTGACACTTCCAATTTAGTATTACTTGACTTAGCCAGAGGAGGTAAGACATTTTGGGAGGGTTACTATTATTCAGGCTTGAGAACTATCTTGCTCCAGGTACAATACTGGGCTTTATGTATGTTATTTTATTCATCTCAACAGTTCTTTCAGGTGAATGTGGTTAACAGCCTCAGCAAAGTATAGCAACTTCTTGAAGGCTTTCTTTTTAGAGCAGGGTGGGGCCAGGATGAACCCCAGGAGAATTTGTTTTGAAAGCTGTGGATTTTCCTCTGTGCTGTCTGCCTGTGCTAGAGGTTCTCAATCCTAGTTTCGCTGTGGAATTGTCACTTGTAGAGCTTTTAAAGCACATTATGAAGGCCCCACTCCAGACCTGATCAATCCTGATATTTGAGGTGAAGTCTTAGGATGTGTATATATCTTTAAAGTTGTATGAGTGATGATTCTTTGCATACTCAGGGTTGAAAACCACTAATCAATGGATTAATTTAAGTTAAATTAGTCCAAGTAGATTAGGCTAGAAAAATGAAATATTATAATTACATTTTAAGATGTAGGCTGATGAGAAGCTATGACACAATCAGGGTATATACCATCCAAAGCAGTGCTTCTCCAACTGTACTGTGTACATGATGCCCTTATGGTTTTGATAAAATACAGATTCTGACTCACTCTGTAGTGAGGCCTGTTTCTGTATTTCTAACAATTTCCTAGGTAATGCTAATGCTGCTGGTCTACAAATCACATGTTGAGTGACAAGACCTGGGGACCAGAGTTCAAGTGGATGTTTTAAATATCTATGGAATAACCAAGAGATGAAGGCTTAAATCTCAATTCTGTTCCCTAGAGCCATGCTGTGTTCAGTCTCACTATAAATGCAGAGCTGGTGACCGTGACTGCTCATCCCGTCACCCATTCTTCCTGCCACTGGGCATGGTCATGCTAGGTGCTGAGGATGGCAGCAGTTGTGCTATGACAGATATTTGGGTGTCTGTAATATTTGAAAGCCTCAATTTTAAAAAATAACCTTTCATTCAAATGACACTCAAAGTGTACTTTTCTTCAAGGTGAAAATTATGGTTTTTTGCATAGAAAGAAGAGCTGACTGGGTCTTGCAGCAAGTCTGTGGCAACTGTCCTGAAGCAGGAGGTTCCTCCCTCCCCACCTTACCCACCATACTCTTTCAAATTAAACAATCATGATTTCATCATAGTGATCATTGCTGTGTGGACTTCTTTCAAACAAAATGGCTATATTAAAAAGATAGTATTAGACCTGCACTGTGATTTTTTGGGGAAGCAATTTACACTGAAAGTTTTAAAATTTCCTCAAATGACACCATGAACTTTCCAGACTGAAATAAGAAAACAGTGATCTGAAGAGGAAAGCTTTTCTCAAGTCAATGTAATAAGCTCCTTTAACCTAGCACAAGCTGAACAGTGATTTAAAAAATAATTATTTCAGCGGAAGTATTTGTGTTTAAATATTTTTAAGATACTCACTGCTATGCTTCCTTCTGGGAGTTTTGCTGGCTGATCTTTATAAGGCATCTTCTTAACTTCAAAGGACACCAGGGATACAAGAGAATACGGATCATTTTTTCTCTGAAATTAAAAATATTTATTTAAATATATTCCATGGAAAGCTTTTACAAGTTGTACTGGCAGCCACCCAGTTGTTTTCAGTGTTTTCCATTTCCAGAGCAAAATTTTCTCCTTCCTTTTTTCTTCGTATTCTCTTATTTTTTATTCCCCAGCCAGTGATCCATCCATCCATCATCCACCGAACCACCCACCCATTCATACTCTTCTTATTTACAAAGATAATTTATCTTATTAACAAAAGACTTGGTACAATAAGGTTAAAATAGAAACAGAAAATCAGAGTCCTAAAAATGAGTGAGCTGCTACTGGTGAAGAATAAAGTAGAGACAAAGTAGATTACAAAATTCTTATTATCTGATAGAAGAAAACATTTTAGAAGAGAGAGAGTCTGGTACTAAAGAAACTTGCCAAATTTCATCTGAAACAGAAGACTCAGAGTAGGGCATCTCAGTGTTTGCACTGTTAGGATTTGGGGGTGGATGGAGGACCATCCCGAACCTTGTAGGATGTTTAGCAAAACGCCTGACCTCTACCTACTAGCTGCCAATAGCACCCTATCCAATTGTGACAATAAAAAATGCCTCCAATTCTTGCCAGTGTTCCCTGGAGAGCAAAATCACCCTGGTTAAGAACCACAACTGAGAGCCATACCTAGACCATTCTGTTTTTGAGATAATTTTTTAGGAGAAGTTCTTTTTGTTTAATTGGTTCTCATATTAACTGGTGATTAAAGCCAAATGAAAGTTTTTAAGAGTAAGTTAAAGAAAGCTGTTTTGAGAACTTAAGCTTCTGTGGTTCTCCATTCAGCTTGAGGTAATGATTAGATCTATCCAGTGGTGGGCTGTAGCTGGCTTATACTGGCTTTTGAGAGAAGACTGTTAAAATTTCAGGAATTTTGAGTATCAGTTGTTATACAGAGCCATTATTAAAACTTAAATTACACATATGTAAACTTAAGTATATTGTATGTTTTTTGAGAATTTTTATAGAATTTTTTGTATCATTAATATACAGTTACATGAGCAACACTGTGGTTACTAGATTCCCCCCATCATCAAGTCCCCACCACATACCCCATTACAGTCACTGTTCATCAGCATAGTAAGATGCTATAGAGTCACTACTTGTCTTCTCTGTACTATACTGCCTTCCCCATGCCACCCCCCAACATTATGTGTGCTAATTGTAATGCCCCTTTTTCCCCTTATCCTTCCCTTCTCACCAATCCTTCCCAGTCCCTTTCCCTTTGGTAACTGTTAGTCCATTCTTGGGTTCTGTGAGTCTGCTGCTGTTTTGTTCCTTCAGTTTTTTCTTTGTTCTTATACTCCACAGATGAGTGAAATCATCTGATACTTGTCTTTCTCTGCCTGGCTTATTTCACTGGGCATAATACCCACTAGCTCCATCCATGTTGTTACAAATGGTAGGATTTATTTTCTTCTTATGGTTGAATAATATTCCATTGTGTATACGTAACACATCTTTATCCATTCATCTACTGATGGATACTTAGGTTGCTTCCATTTCTTGGCTATTGTAAATAGTGCTGCAGTAAACTTAGGGATGCATATGTCTTTTTCAAACTGGGCTCCTACATTCTTAGGGTAAATTCCTATGAGTGGAATTCCTGGGTCAAGTGGTATTTCTATTTTTAGTTTTTTGAGGAACTTCTATACTGCTTTACACAATGGTTGAACTAATTTACATTCCCACCAGCAGTGTAGGAGGGTTCCCCTTTCTCCACATCTTCAGCAACATTTATTGTTGTTTGTCTTTTGGATGTTGGCCATCCTAACTGGTATTAGGTGATATCTCAATGTGGTTTTAATTTGCATTTCTCTGATGATTAGTGATTGGAGCATCTTTTCATGTGCTTGTTGGCCCTCTGAATTTCTTCTTCGGAGAAGTGTCTGTTCAGATCCTCTGTCCATTTTTTAATTGGGTTATTGACTTTTTGTTTGTTGAGGTGCATGAGCTCTTTGTATATGTTGGATGTCAACCTCTTATAAGGTATATCATTTATGAATATATTCTCCCATACTGTAGGATGCCTTTTTGTTCTGATGATGGTGTCCTTTGCTGTACAGAAGCTTTTTAGTTTGATATAGTCCCACTTGTTCGTTTTTGATTTTGTTTCCCCTGCCCATGGAGATATGTTCATGAAGAAGTTCTTCATGTTTATATTCAAGAGATTTTTGCCTATGTTTTCTTATGTGAGTTTTATGGTTTCATGACTTACATTCAGGTCTTTGATCCATTTCGAGTTTACTTTTGTGTATGGAGTTAGACAGTAATCCAGTTTCATTCTCTTACATGTAGCTGTCCAGTTTTACCAACACCAGCTGTTGAAGAGCCTGTCATTTCCCCATTGCATATCCATGGCTCCTTTATTGTATATTAATTGACCATATATGCTTCAGTTAATATTTGAACTCTCTATTCTGTTCCACTGGTCTATGGATCTGTTCTTGTGCCAGTACCAAATTGTCTTGATTACTGTGGCTTTGTAGTAGAGCTTGAAGTTGGGAAGTGACATCCCCCATGCTTTATGCTTCCTTCTCAGGATTGCTTTGGCTATTCAGGGTCTTCTGTGGTTGCATATTAATTTTAGAGCTATTTGTTCCAGTTCATTGAAGAATGCTGTTGGTATTTTGATAGGGATTACATTGAATCTGTAGATTGCTTTAGGCAGGATGGCCATTTTGACAATATTTATTCTTCCTAAGCAAAAGCATGGGATGAATTTCCATTTATTAGTGTCTGCTTTAATTTCTCTTAAGAGTATCTTGTAGTTTTCAGGGTATATAGGTCTTTCACTTCCTTGGTTAGGTTTATTTCTAGGTATTTGATATTTTTTGATGCAATTGTGAATGGAATTGTTTTCCTGATTTTTCTTTCTGCTAGTTCGTAATTAATGTATAGGAATGCAACAGATTTCTGTGTATTAATTTTGTATCTTGCAACTTTGCTTAATTGAGATATTAGTTCTTGTAGTTTTGGAGTGGATTCTTTAGGGTTTTCTATCTACAATATTATGACATCTGCAAACAGTGACAGTTTGACTTCTTCCTTACCAATCTGTATGCCTTTTATTTCTTTGTGTTGTGTGATTGCCTTGGCTAGGACCTCCAGTACCGTATTGAATAAAAGCGGGAAGAGTGGGCATTGTTGTCTTGTTCCTGATCTTAGAGGAAAAGCTCTTAGCTTCTCACTGTTAAGTATGATGTTGGCTGTGGGTTTGTCTTATATGGCCTTTATTATTTTAAGGTACTTGCCCTCCATACCCATTTTGCTGAGATTTTTTATCGTGAATGGGTGTTGAATTTTGTTGAATGCTTTTTCAGCATCTATGGAGATGATCATGTGGATTTTGTCCTTCTTTTTGTTGATGTGGTGGATGATGTTGATGGATTTTCGAATGTTGTACCATCCTTGTATCCCTAAGATGAATCCCACTGGATCATAGTGTATGATCCTCTTGATGTATTTTTGAATTCGGTTTGCTAATACTTTGTTGAGTATTTTTACATCTATGTTCATCAGGGATATTGGTCTGTAGTTTTCTTTTGTTGTGGTATCTTTGCCTGTTTTGGTATTAGAGTGATGCTGGCTTCATAGAATGAGTTTGGAAGTATTCCTTCCTCTTCTATTTTCTGGAAAACTTTAAGGAGAATGGGTATTATGTCTTTACTAAATGTCTGATAAAATTCAGTGGTAAATCCATCTGGCATAGGAGTTTTGTTCTCGGCTAGTTTTTTGATTACTGATTCAATTTTATTGTTGGTAATTGGTCTGTTTAGGTTTTCCGTTTCTTCCTGGGTCAGTCTTGGAAGGTTTTATTTTTCTATAAAGTTGTCCATTTCTTCTTGGACATACAGATTTTCATAGTGTTCTCTAGTAATTCTTTGTATTTCTGTGGTGTCTGTAGTGATTTTTCCTTTCTCATTTCTGATTCTGTTTATGTGTGTAGATTCTCCTTTTTTTTCTTAAGTTTGGCTAGGGGTTTATCTATTTTGTTTATTTTCTCAAAGAAATTCATTATTTCTATACTGCTTTACACAATGCATGAGCTCTTTGTATATGTTGGATGTCAACCTCTTATCAGGTATATCATTTATGAATATATTCTCCCATACTGTAGGATACCTTTTTGTTCTGATGCTGGTGTCCTTTGCTGTACAGAAGCTTTTTAGTTTGATATAGTCCCACTTGTTCATTTTTAATTTTGTTTCCCCTGCCCATGGAGATATGTTCATGAAGAAGTTCTTCATGTTTATATTCAAGAGATTTTTGCCTATGTTTTCTTATGTGAGTTTTATGGTTTCATGACTTACATTCAGGTCTTTGATCCATTTCGAGTTTACTTTTGTAAACTCATTAATTTTTCTATTGTTTTATTCTTCCCAATTTTATTTATTTATTCTCTGATCTTTATTATATCCCTCCTTCTGCTGACTTTGGGCCTCATTTGTTCTTCTTTTCCAATTTCAATGATTGTGACTTTAGACTATGCATTTGGGATTGTTCTTCCTTCTTTAAATAGACTTGGATTGCTATATACTTTCCTCTTAGAATTGCATTCACTGCATCCCACAGAAGTTGGGGTGTTGTGCTGTTGTCCCGATTTATTGCTTGATCTCTGTTTTAATTTGGTCACTGATCTGTTGATTATTTAGGAGCATGTTGTTAAGCCTCCATGTGTTTGTGAGTCTTTTTGTTTTCTTTGTACAATTTATTTCTACTTTTATACCTTTGTGATCTGAGAAGTTGGTTGGTACAATTTCAATCTTTTAAAACTTACTGAGGCTCTTTTTGTCACCTAGTATGTGATCTATTCTGGAAAATGTTCTGTGTGCACTTGAGTAGAATGTATATCCTGCTGCTTTTGAGTGTAGAGTTCTGTAGATGTCTGTTAGTTCCATCTGTTCTAGTGTGTTGTTTAGTGCCTCTGTGGCCTTACTTATTTTCTGTCTGGTTGATCTGTCCTTTGGAGTGAGTGG